GAACAATGAACTGGAAAGGCAGATTTGGGTAAAACCAATGTGCCTGCCTTTCTGACAAGGCCTTCTTTACCTTTTCGATTGCTGTCTTTGCCTCTGGAGTCAGTTCCCTGGGGGATGCCAGCTCCCTCTCCCCCTTCAATAAATTGAAAAGAGGTTCCAGGTCCTCATTTTTGAGGCCTAGCCAGGGCCTTACCCAATATAAAGACCCACACAGCGAGTGGAGGTCTGCTAATGTTCTGGGGTTGCAATTAATCTCCAATTTCTGTGGGACAATAGTCCGTGCAGAAATTTCCAGGCCCAGGTATCTCCAAGGTGGCATTCTTTGAACTTTGTTTTCCTGCAATTGAAATCCAACAGAGGTTAAAACTTTAACCACTAGGTCAAGCGTGTATTGGAGTATAGAGTCATTGGGAGCACACACAAGCACATCATCCATATAGTGTAGTATGATGGCATCGTTTCTCTCTGCACGTACTGGAGACAGTAGTGCTGCTACATACTGTTGGCATATGAAAGGACTGGATTTTAAACCTTGGGGCAAAACCTTCCAGTGGTAACGTTTCATCGGGGCTTCTCGATTGGTAGTAGGAACTGAGAATGCAAACCTCGGGGCATCTTCAGGGTGCAATGGAATTTGGAAGAAACAGTCCTTTATATCTAACACAGCCAATTTCCAGTCCTGGGGAAGCATAGCTGGACTAGGCATCCCCGGTTGGAGAGGTCCCATGTCCTCCACAATTTTGTTTATCTCTCTGAGATCGTGGTGCAATCTCCACTTGTCCTTCCCAGGCTTCTTTATTACAAAGATTGGGAAATTGCAAGGGCTGTCTGTTTCTTGTGGGTGTCCTTGAGCTACCTGCTCCTCCACAAGTTTTACAAGCAGTGCCTCAAGTTTTTCTCTATTCAAAGGCCACTGTGCTACCCACGTTGGGGTGTTATCCAACCACTTTAACTTGGGGGCGCGGCGCTCCACAGTGGCTACTTCCAAAACTCATGGGGTGTCTTAGGAATGATTAACTGGACTCCCCACAGGGACATGGTGTCTCTCCCCCATAGAGGAGCTTTATAGTCTGCCACAAATGGGCGAACACTTGCCAATTTCCTGTCAGGTCCCTCAATTTGCACTACATTTTTAGAAATTTTTTTTCCAATGTAGTTCCTCCTATACCCTGAAGTTTGCCTGCCACAGGTTGCAATTCCCAGTGTGGTGGCCACATGGTTTTGGGTATCACCGTGATTTCTGCACCTGTGTCCAGAACACCTTCCACCTGAAGATGCTCTGACCCATGTGCTAGGTTGCATGCCATGGAGGGTTTATCCTCTCCTACTACTTCTGCCCAATAGACTTCTGGAGATTTTCCTTCTACTGTGATTTCTACTGGGATGGGAATGGCTTGTGCCAGAATTTGCCCCTTTTCTAGATAGAATGGAGGGTGCAAACAACGTGCCAACAGCATAAGGCTGGATATTTTCCCCTTAGTAGTCATGGGAACTATTTCAATCTCTGGACATCTGTGTGGAGACGATCTCTATATACAGTAAACCAAATAAAAATCCATAGAACAAAGAATTCAAAGATTAAGAAAAATAGCAATAGCAGAGATTGTCTTCTCAGATAACCTAAACACTATAAATCCAAACTTAGTACCATATACATCCGTGATGTAGCGAAAACTTATAGAACTTAAACCACAGGAATACTCTTCTGCTTTAGCAATAATAAATTGAGATGACAAAGAAGAGACCGTGCTTAATATAGCAAAGAAGCTCCAAATATATACAAATACCATGAATTTCCCAACACATACAAGAATCGCAGCTTTAAAAACACATGCAGAAATTAGAAGATAAAATCACAAAAACTCTGAGAAATTAAAGACCTTCTCCAAATTTCAATAATAAAAATCAAAACTTCTAATATCAAAAATAAACATCCCCCAGACAAAAAAAAGTACACTGCACGTACTAAACTATAGTTCTTCCTGCGTAATAATAGAAAATGCATGAAAAGATGAGATAAAAAAATCTACTACTACTCTAAGACAACAAATGCTTAAATTGAAAGGCAACAAAAGTAAAAAAATAGTTCCACCAAAAAAAAAACCCAACTCCAATAGCCCATAACCAAACTGCCAAATATGGTAATAATGACAACATGTCCAATCCCCTTAAAGAAACCTCCAAAACATACCCCTCCCAAAAAAGATAACCAAGCTTAGAAGGACCTTGCCTCTAGACAGGTAGAGGCTAGGGAAAACCATGGTTTTTAGACTATATAAATTTGTTAGCCTAGCACATCAGAACCACAAAACTATGAAGCCTTAATTAACACTAGTGCACAGTGCACATTAATCCCATCAACACATATAGAGACAAAAATCTATTGCTAGCATAACAGGGGTCTCACAGAATTTTCCTTTAGTAGAAGCTAAAGTAAGCCTGACTAAAAATAAATAGAAAAAACACCCTATTGTAACTAACCTGTTAAAAACGGGACAACACTCCTGGTGCTAAAAGTGATTTCAGCATTTATTATAATAAAAAGAAAGGCCTAAAGCAAGGGGGTCCACGGGCTGAGCAGGAGCGTTCCTGCCGAAAATGCTGCAGTGCCGGCACTGGGTCTTCTTGCACAGTGATGTCCCCAATATTCCAGGTGGAGCGGCATGGATTCACTGGATTGGATGCCCCCTATTTATCCTGTTTTTTGTCCCTCTGTATTGGTTTTTTTTTTGATCCTTCATTTGCACGAAGGTTTAAGGCTCTTGATTGGCCCATTTTAGATCTGTCCAGGCTGGCTCGTTTTGCTGGGGGGGTGGTGCACTTTACTTAGGTGTAATATGGTACATTGAGTACCGTATTTCTTATAACTACCCTTTTAATCCCTTTTACCATAACCAAACTAACAGTGCATGCTTAAAAATTATCAACTGTTTTACAACTGTTTCTAACCTATTTTTAACAAAACTATACTGCCTTCCATAAGGCAGTACAGAGAGAACTCAAACCTCATACAGAAGGAGACTAACTCCTTGAGAAACACACTACACCCTGCAGGTATCAGAACCCGCTTTTCCAAACAAAATAAGAGGAAAGATGTTTGCTAATTAAAAATGCAGGGGTTAGAAGGCGGGTGCTGTTCTAAACAAACCTCTCCTGTAGAAAAGCAGGTTGGGTTAACATTCAGGCAATGCAGTCAGATCTGTTATAAATGAAAATTTGTCCAGCCAAATTAATATGAAAAATAAAATGTTTATTTTGCAATCAAATTCTATCTAGCCAGCCACAAGGAAAGAACAGAGCTGAGCCCGGGGTCGGCCCTGGGTGTGCAACAAGGACTCAGCCTCAGCAGAGGCTTTCCTCCATGCCCACACACCTCCATCCTGGTACAAGCGGTTTTTATAGGGAAAATTCCGCCTGAGGCCAAGATTTCAGTAATCAGTCTTTTCTTCTATTCAGAGTCCATATGTTAATAAGATTTTCTCTTTTGGAGATGTGGGAGAATAATTCAGTGTCCAGAGTTGTTGAATCCTGTGATGAAATTTACGGGGAATGGGGAACGCTGCATTCACATGTATCTGTCCGGGGATTTCCAAGATATCCATCTCGGGTCGTTCATGCGATGATCAGCACCTGGGGTTCCCGTATCTCCCCAGACATGGCCCGTCTCCTGGCCAGCCGTACCTTCTTATTTGTAAATCAGTTTCTAATATACTCCCGGTCTCGCCTGCAAGGGTGGGGGGGGGGGGGGGGGGAGAATCCTAATACAAACATGTATACTCTAACAAATATTCAATATCACATATATCATATTAGAAATGGTGCGACTTATATATACTACACATAACAATCCCCCACCTTTTATATTAACTTATTAATTCACACCCTAATTTTTATTTTATTTTATATAAAGCTACAGAGTTTATATATATTTTCTAATTCTGGGATTCTATGGTAAAATTTGTGGGTTTGTGTCTTTCTTTTATTTCTTTCAATTTATCATTTATCTAGCACCCACCCAGTACGTTTTCTCTATTACACACATACCCAATTTATTTGGGTTATAACACAGTGAATTAGCTTGGAAATAAGCAACAAAGACAGATTCTTGCTTTCTCTAACCTATATAGTACGAATATATCTGTTATAAACTATATATATATGTGCTCTTTTGATGTAGTTTATGAGCTGACTGTCCGTTTTCAAGGTATGTTTTCGATTTCTCTTTGAATTTGTACACCCCCTGTTGAGTGTTAGTGTCAAGACAACGTTTATTAGTCTTACCCCTGCTGCAGTTCCATGAGGTAAGAGGTGATTCCTCTGGATATCTGCCACCAGGTTCACCCTTCCCAGGATTGGGGAGGTTACTGAGGCATGAGGCTAGGCTCAGGCTCGCCCAGACTAATCCCACTGCTAGGATCCCTCTGCCGTTCCCAGCGCCCACTGGGGTGCTTCCAGCGGCAGGGTGAGCCATCTTCTTGGCAGCAGGAATCTTTGTCTGTGGTTTCATACTAAGGCCGAGCCGCACACATTTGTTTAAAATGCCTCACTGGTGTAGTCTGCACTGCGAGGTACGTTGTTCGACCTATGACACTCAACAATAACAATTTTAGCTTTTGTTTGTAATTTCCCCCTTAATTCCTTCTGATATGAGAGGAAAAGAAGGAAAGAAAAAAACTAAAACCTAGATTATTGAATCTAATTAAAACAATCTTAGCCTTGTGGCTATTTACCAGAAAACGGCCAGTCAGGTCTTCCTCCTGCTCAACACACTTCCCAAACAACCCACTTTGTTTAATTCAATAATAAACAGTTCAAACTTTATGACAGTATCTGCAAGGGAAATGTAGGAGAGGATAATAGTTACACTCTGGCATGGAACGCTTGATAGACGTGCTCTCAGTCATTTACTTGGCCGGCGCAGGGTTATCTTCAAATCTCCAGGGGGGCGGGGGGAGGCGATTTTCTACTCTGGTGCCCGTACTGGAGATTGACTTTTTTAACCTTGATGCGTGTGTCCACCCCTTTTCTGCAGTTCGTATAGCAGTATCTGTAGTTAAAAGAACAATGAAAGGTCCCTCCCATTGAGGCGTTAATGGGGCTTCCCGCCAGGTTTTCACAAGCACCCTGTCTCCAGGTTGTATTTTATGTATCGAGAAGCTAAAAAGGCTGTTTTTCATTATTACCCCTGCTTTCCCAATTCTTCGAGATTCTTATTTAATTCTACTAGATATGGTTGTATTTGTTTATCCTCTAATTTCGGATGCCCTACAGGCATACCATGGGTATAAGGCATCCCATATAACATTTCAAAAGGTGAAAGTCCCGTCTCGGAATGAGGCATAGTTCTTATATTTAATAAGGCTAACGGGAGGCATTTTATCCATGACATTTTTGGTTTTAACATTAATTTTGCTAATTGGGCCTTCAATGTTTGATTCATTTTCTCACCTTGTCCTGAACTTTGAGGGTTCCACGGGGTGTGGTATTCCCATCAAATGCCTAAAGCATCTGCCAACAGCTTGATGATTTTTGATGTGAAATGTGTCTCTTGGTCCGAATCAATGTAGCTTACTAACCCATAGCGCGGTATAATTTCTTCTAATAAGGTTTTTGATACTGTTTGGGCTGTAGCCCGGGAGCTTGTGAAAGCTTCTACCCAGTGGGTTAGTTTATCCACTATGACTAATAAGAATTTGTATCTCCCGACCTTGGGTAGATCAGTGAAATCTACCTGGATCCTTTCAAAAGGCCGGTAAGCTGCTGGACGACTCCCCATTAACTTTTGGGAGTTTGCACGATTTATTTTTTTGCAAGTTATGCCCCCTTGCACTTCTTGTTTAGCCAATTCATATGTAATCTTTTTTAAATTTTCCTAGTGTATTCCTTTGTCAACAATTCCCTCCCATCTGGTAACTTCCACTTACTTCCTTCTAACTGTCCCCCAATCTCCCGATAAGCCTCTATCTCCTTTTCAGAGGGTTGGGGGGGATTTCCTGATCGTCCCCTTTTTCAATCTCTGGGGCACTTACCTTTATCAAAGCAGCGCTTTTTGCCCCTTTGTCTGCTAAATTGTTCCCCCGAGTCCTGAATTGCATCCCGGTTTGGTGTCCTTTTACTTGGACTATAGCAATAGCTTCTGGCCCTCTAATGGCTTTTAGGATTTGTTTAATTATTTCTTCATTAATCAATCCCACTCCCCGTGTGTTTAGCAGACCTCTTTCTTCCCAGATTTTCCCAAAGGTGTGCACCACCCGAAATGCATATTTGGAATCTGTGAAAATTGTCCCCTTTTTTCCTTCTAAGTCTTAGCAAAGCCCTGTATACTGCATACAGATTACAAGCCTGAGCCGACCACCCTGCACTCAGGGGCCTAGATTCTGCCACCCCTCCTGTCTTCCCATCTATGACTGCATATCCTAACTTTCTTTTTCCTTCTACCACCCTTGTAGATCCATCTACAAACCATTTCTCCCTTTCCTCGAGTTCTTCTTCTAAATCAGGTCGTATTTTGGTCTGTAATTTTACCGTTTTAGCACAGTCATGGGGAGGGTCCCCTGGTACTGCCCCAAACAAGAACTGAGTAGGATTTTGTGCCAGGGTGGGGTTTTTTTTGGTGGTTTTTTTTTTTTTTTGGTTTGTTTTTTTTTTTTTTGGTCTGGGGGGGGCAATGTAATTATCCTGACTTTCCTCAACTAGAGGACAAGTCTAAAAGGCATCCTTTAGGTCAATTACACTATAATAGAGTATAAGGATTAGAGACTGTGGGTAACTGCTAATAGATTTTGTATTGCTAATATAGGTGTGTTATGTCTGGACATGTGGGGCTCTAAGGTGCCCCCCTTTTTAAAGTCCTCGATTATTGGTTTTAATCCATTCCTTCTCTCTAGAGGGATGGGATACTGCTTTACCCTTATGCGCTCTTTTTGTCTCTTAATTTTAATGAGAATTGGTTTGATGTCTAATATTTTAGCTTCCCCCGGAGTGTGCCAGACCCTGGGATTAATTTTCTTTTCATCCTCAGTAGTTAGGTTGTATAAACTTACCATGAGCTGTGAGTCTTTTGCAATTTTACGTATTCCCAATATTATCATTAAATCCCTCCCCAATAAATTGTATTCTGTTTCTTCCACTAATAAAACATCCCCAACACAGATTTTATTATTAGATTCTATTTCTACATTCTTTAGGACTCAGACTTGAAAGGGTTCCCCTTTAGCCCCAATCACAGTTATAAAATCCTTACCTTTGATACATCCAGGGGGCAGTCATTGAACTGTGTTTTTTTCTGCTCCAGAATCAACTAAAAAGAGCAGTTCCGGTTTTTGGGGTCCAACTTTTAGGATTTTTTCCTTTCAAGGATGCCCTGCCAAGAGGGAAAAAACAACAGTTCAGTTTTCATTTTTGGGACCAACAGTCCCCCCCATTTTCCCCTGGGGCCGAGGATCCACGAACAGAAATCTTCTTCTCTTCTTCCTCTCTGAAGACAGGGGGCACCACCACAAACCTCCCTAACTTTTCTCTGTTCGCTCCACTTCTGTCTTTTCCCAGCTGAAGCATGGTCTCTTTGGCTCACTGGCATCCTCCTAAAATACAGTCTCTCTTGGAGGAGAAGATCAGTTCAATCTGTGGCTACCAAGAAAAAGTCCAGCCAAACAGCCACTCCATCATCTCCTCCCACCTAGAATTTCTCCTTCCAACATCCCAGGTCCCAGGCTGTCTCTCTTCCTCTCTTTTCAAACCGAGGAGGAGAAAAATTTCACAAAGCTTTCATTTCTCAGGAAGGGTTAAAAGTCCCGACTCCCAAGGATGGCTCGCTGCCCAGGCTCCAGCTCCCACAGGCGGCTGGGCACCTTGCGGCCCCCCCGCTCTTCTCCTTCCCCGCGGTGAACTGCTGGCAAAACCACCGCCGTCTCTTTTTCTCTCTTGGGAGAGAGAGACTCTGGGGGGAACGGAGACATCCCAGTTTTCTCCACCCTTCCATCTGCAGGGGGGTTCCAGTCCCTCCACCCTTGGGCCTACCTCCGAAGGCCACATGGCTTCTCCCCTCCCCCACCCAGCTCGTGGCTGGGCAGGGGAGAGTCCTGCACTGACCGCTGACCGGAACCCAAGAGAGCGAGTTCTCCTGGGAATTCTGCTTTTAACCCCTCTGTGTTCTCAGAGGCGTGTCCACCTTCAATTGGTCAATGTCCAAATTGACTTCTTCCTTCCGGAAAAATTCTTTTTCCGTGTCAAACCACGACAGGTGGTGAGAGCACTGTGCATGGAAAGGAGAGGGTCACCACTGGCAAACTTTTTTTCTCCGGGCGGTGCCATGTGGTGACATGGAAGCACAGGATGTGGCAGCTGTGTTTCTTGGGGGGTCTGTGGCACAAGAGAGACTCCTCTCTCCCCTGCAGATGAACTGGGTGTTGATTATCTGGAGGGTGGAAACATGATTGGGGTCCTGATTGTGTCTCACTGTGGTTTGTTGGAGTTGGGTGGTGGGAGGAGGAATGCTTTGGAAGGTTTTCATTTTGAATTGTGTGTGTTTTCTTTCTTCTTTTTTTTTCCCCCCTCTTTTATAGTAGCATAGTGGTAGTAGTTTAATAAAGTTTTTTTTCTTGTTATTAAGCTTGGGCCTGCTTTGCTCTGTTCTCGATCACATTTCACAGCATTCAGTTGAGAGATTGCATTTTCATGGGGGGCACTGGCATTGTGCCAGTGTCAAACCATTACATCTGCCCACAACCTCTTTTGATCCAACTGCACCAAGGCCCTTTTTGATGCCACCTGCTGTTAAAGCAGAACCATTCAGTTTTTCTGAGCCTTTTTCTTGGTATTAACATTATCATTGTCACAATTTGGATCACTTCATTCATTAGATTTTTTTTCCTCCTTGCTCTCTTATCAAGGTCACGCTGTGTGTTAACAAGAGATCTATCAATGCTGCATGGACCACCCTTGATTTTTGCAGGGATAGCAGGCCAAATTCTGTCCCTGCAAATTCAAAAGCATCCCTTTTAGTAGAACGGTCGGATTTTTGAAGGGATAGTTTGCTCCTCATTTTGGTGTAATTACATCAGGATGATACATTTCTGTTAAAGAGCTCGTTTGGAGTGACATCTATCATGTGATTATTTGTCTCTGTCACTCCCAATGGATTGAATTTGATACAGAATTTCATTTTTGTTGACCCAAAATGTCCAAATCCAGAGGTTCAAAGTGAGCCACAGGAAGGAACTGTGTCCAAACATGCCATCCCTCCACAGGATCCGAAAAAAACTTCAGAACCCTTGGAAGGATGTCCCCTGGGACTGACCATTCCTCCACTGGCACACCTACCAAGCATGTTGAAAATGGTTTCTCTGGTTTCGAATGGGTCAGGCAAATGCTGTCCAGACCCGCTGCTTTTGCCAAAGTCTCCCACACTTTTTCCCTTGGTTGTCTCATGGGAAAGTCTGTCCTATTGCACAAGGCAACAGGTGAAAGAATGAAGTACATTAACACTATCTGTCTGAATCCCATGTCCATGTCCCCACCCTCTGTGAGAAACCTCGCAATGCAGCAACACCCAAACAACACTTGATTTCTCAGAAAAAACCCCAAGTCTCTGGGTGATCAATCGTTGTCTGACGAGACGTCTGCAGCGTCGTTGTCTGCCTTCGTCTGTGTGCTTGCTTCTCTGCTTCTCGGGTCTACGTCCACTGGCGTCTGCACCCGATAAGGTTTCATGTGCCTTGCTGGCATTCACTTCAGTCCTCATCCTATAGAAACACAAGCGAAACCCTCTCCCCAAGTTATTAATGTAAATGGACCTTCAATCTGTCCTGACTCTGGGTTTCTGATCAAAACGAAAGGATTTTCCCTTAGTTTTTCCTGTGGGCTGCTTGTAAAATATCTGACAATTAGTAGAGTGGGCTCTGAGAAAAAAACATTTAAAAAAATTCAACACATTTGTTCAACCCTGCAAAAATTCAACACATTTGTTCAACCCTGCCTCCCCCCTTTTCTGTTTATCCAAGTGGATTTCAGGGTGTGATGTGTTCTTTCACTGCTTGCTTGACCTGAGGGAGAATGAAGAATATTGAAAATATGTTTGACTCTCCGTTTTTTCAGAAATTTGTCAAGCACCTTGCCTGTGTAAATTGGACCATTATCTGTTTCTATTTCTTGTTGCACTCCTAATGATGTAAATGCTTATAAAAAATGTCTGCAGGTATGTTCTGTGGTCTCCCCTGTATATAATGATGCAAAAATCGCCCCTGAAAATGTGTCAACTGAGACATAAATGTTTTCGAGCCTCCCAAGAGATGAATATTTTGTGACATCAGCTTGCCACAGCTGAAGGCTTTTACAAACCTCTCAGATTGACCACTCCTGTAAATACAGGAGACTGCACAAACTGGCACTCTGGCAAGCAGATTTCCTTTGTCTGGCTTTCAGAAGGGTGAAAGGTTCCCATCAATGCCTGTGCATTTTTGTGAAAACATGCGTGGCTCAATTTTGCTTGCTCAAAAATGTCTGGCAGTGTCTGCAAGATGGGCATTGTGAGTCTATCTATATGAGCATTCTCTTTTACTAAAAACCCCGGAAGTGAAGAATGCACTCTGATGTATTTATTAATGTTCTTTGTTTTTCTAGGATTATTTTCATGCATAATAGATATGAATATAAAATTTCCTTGTCCGTATGTTTTAAAAGTGATCCCTCTAATCGTTTGACCACATTTGCAACATACACTGAACCTGTGATCAGATTGAGGGTTCCTGAAATAACTGAAAAACCCTGACTATTGTTACCAATTTTGCAACTTGTGGTGAACCTTGTACCATTTTGATATCTGATTCCCTTTTCCCCGTTTTTTGATTTTTCCATGTGACCACTGATTTGTGAGTTTTTCCCAAACCATCAGTGAATACTGTCATTCCTTCCACTGGTTCCTGGCTTATTTTTGGTTTTTCCCTGAAGCTCACTTTTACATTTAACATTTTGTGTGCTGGAAAACGAACTGTGCAAACTTCTGAATGCCCTAACAACGTGATTGAAAAATTTTGTGACTTTGGATTGTCCACTCAAAATATTTCTTCTTTAAATGTAAATGAATGATTAAGAAATCTTTGCCTGACATTATCAACAATCTGGTCTTTGCCACAATAATGATCTGAGCTTCCATCTCTAAATCTGTAAGAATTGTTTTTTGAGGGTCTGCAAATTAAAAAACCCCACTTTCAACTTCTGTGAAAACATTAACAAAATCCTTGCTCAAAGTTATTGATTTGAACGATTTTTTTTTTCAATTTTATCTGTCCAGTGTCTAGCACTCTCTTCATATTTTTCTCAATGATCAACAAAATCAAGTCTGCAAAATAATTATTTCAAGAGATTAAAACATACAAAATCTTCAGCATAATTTCAGCCTTATTTCAGGCACTTCTCCACTCCTTTTCTTTTTTCTTTTTCCTTTTTTCTCTCTTTCTCTTCTTCTCTTTTGAAACAAGAAAGTTGAAATGTAAAACATAATATAGAACAAGACAAAATACCTCAATGATAAAATGCATAAAACTTATCAAAATCGATAACAATTCAAGAAAATTAAAAAGAAAGAGATTCTAAATAGCATATATAAAAATGAACAAAGCATGATCATTAGAAACATTGTGACAGCAGTTCAGAGTCTGCAAACAGCTGAAACATTTGTTTTCAGTGAAAACCCTTGGCATCCTTTCCCAGGCAAGGCTGGCAAGTTTCACCTCAAAGCTGTGTCAGCTGTCACCTTTGTAGAATCAAATTGGTGGGTCAAAATGACCTGCATATCATTCATTTTTGTGCAGAAACCTCTGAATTTTGCTGGCAAACTCATCTATCCAAGTTAAAATCAGGGCCTGTCCAGGACCCAAACTTTAAACTGGAGAGATGTCCCCTAACATATTATATAAAACAAAACTTATACCAACAATACATATATGATACTTAAAACATAACAACCTATTAAAACATTTTCTTATAAAATAAACACTTGAAGTTCAAACCGATAAACTGATCAAATGACACAAAGATTCATTTTTCTTGAAACTCTTTTGAAGGAAAAGGATGCCAACTGGAGAAATCGTAAGATTAACAATGACAAAAAGCTATCAGAATGCTTCAGGCACCTCTCTCTGAGATCTTCTGAAAAACATTTGAGAATGATAAAAAATAGAAATGCAATGATTCCACTCACAAGAGATACAAAAACAAATCAGGAAGTTCACCTAAAAAAATGCTCAATACAGTTAAAATCCAAAATGAGACTTCAGAACGGCATGTAACCTGGATAAGATTACATAAACAACAATAAAACATATGAGAATTCACTATGAAAAAACAAAGCACAAATCTTCACCTGATAACATGATAAAATTTCTT